ACTACTACTACTACTACTACTACCACTACTCCTACTACTACTGCTACTACTACTACTACTATTACTACTACTACTACTACTCCTACTACTACTACTACTACTACTACTATTACTACTACTACTACTACTGCTCTACTACTCTACTACTCTACTACTCTATTACTCTACTGCTACTGCCATCACAACTACCGCCACTACCACCTCCCACAACTCCAACACAACCCCCTTTTTTCATCTTGTGGTTGTTGCTATTTTGATGGTGCTGGCTGGTGCTACGAAAATATGAAAACGGTATCGATGGATGGGTACTTGCTTGCGAGTTTATGGGTACACCTATTTTCAGCGATCATCTTGCACATGGGTGGTTCTCTAAATTGGTGTCTCATTTTAGGCCCCCAATTTAGTACGGTACGCTGAAACAATGATCCAAAAAGGACCCTAATTTAGAGAACTACCCAGCGCCGCACTGATAGACGTGCGCAGATAGCAATAGTCGTCCTTGTGCAAGCACATGGGCCATGAGCACAGTCATTACCAGCATCATGCTCATGATTATCAGATTATCCGTAGCATCATGCAGTTAATGCCGTTCAGCTGCGACGGCAGCCCGAAGCAGCTTCTCAGGTACTGGCACAAGTGAGGGCATCTGGTCGGCAACTTCTCTGTGGAGGTCTTGCCTCAGCCAGCTGCTTTCCGAAGCCCTTACACCCAACAGCCCAGACAGAACCACTTGCATTCCAACCCTCTAAGAACCTCCAACCCACGTTTGAAGCCTCAACGTGTACGCCTCTCCTACAGTGAGTCCCCGACTTGGTAAGTTATGAGATGCCGGAAGCCGGCAAAGGCTCAAGAGCAGCTTGTGAAAACGAATCGTCTCCGCGGCTTACACAAAAAAGTGTGGCACCGCCTGCCGGCACGGGCTACATGTTAGAGATTCGCGATCCGAAGCGACAGGACTGGCACTCTGCAGCGTCGGCTCAAGAGCAGCCGGGGTCATAGATGTCGCAGGGCACCAAGCAGTGGCACTTTAGGCGTGAGGCTGTGGGCTATACCAGCTCGGCTCTACATTTTGCATCTCTGTACTCGTAGCTTCTTCGACGGGGCAAGAATGACAGACCTCGACAAGAAGCTTCGCAACTTGGAGAGCCTTGGGCTTGTTTTGTTCAACACGCGCTCGCTTTGGAGCTTTGGAAATCATCTGTGCGCGAGATCAGACCCGAAGCCGCGAAGCCCCCTATAGAAAACGAAGGAAGAAGCTCAAGCAGATCGACGAGTTGGCTTCCAAAGAGCGCGCTGGACAGAGCCTTTGCCCGCAGGGGCTTAGCGTCGCTTCCCGTAGCTGTGGCATGTCAGCCGGCCCAGCAGCTGGCTGTGCCGAGAGTGCATGGGAACTCTCATGGCCCGGATATTGCGTGCCCACGACACTGAGGAGCCTCAATGCAGAGCAGAAAGGAAAGCTGCTGAAGAGGGTGGAAGTGGAGGCAGGACGGAGCCTCCTTCGTCTTCATTCCTTTTAAGCTTGTGTCCTCTTAACCGCCGAGTTTGTGAGGCAGAGATCGAGGAGCTGCGGAAGGCGGAAGCGGCTCCTGAGGTGCTTTCGCCAAACTTGTTGGGCACTGCTGTGTTGGCTTCCAGTGTTCGGGCGGCGACGGATGTCAAGGAGTCAAGTCGCTGAGGTCACTTCGTACCTGCCCCAAGAGCAAGAAGCCGAAGGAAACGTCACAGGTGCGCCGGAGTAGCCCTTCGCAGGTTGCACAGCCCGACACCCTGCAACCCCGCACTGTCCGCACTGTCTCTGGGGCGTCAGCATCGTCAGCCTGTTCAAGAACTCTTGTTTTCTTCCTTGATGTTTGGCACTTCGCTATTTTCTTTGTGAGCATGAAGTGCCGGTTGTTAAAGGCCCACAATCGTAGGATGTTGAGTCTGTTGTCTTGGCCCCAGCCCACAAGCCCCTCCGTCACACTGCCGGAAAGTAAGTCGTTTCTCCACGCAGATCCGGATCCGATTCGCCACGTGGACCACGTGGGCGTTGGCGCCGCATCGGGTCAGGGCCTCTGGGCCTCCTGTTTAGACTCCGTCGGCCGTCGGCCTCCGCTTTGGCGCACCTTCTCGTGTGGGTTTTTCAGGTGACTCAGACAAGCCACTGGCAAAGAACAAGAAGGTCTTGAACTTGCAGAAGCTTGGCCTGAAGTCTACCAGCAAGTAAACTATGCGGTTCTTTGCACTTCGCTTCAAACTCAGACCCCTTGTCATTGAGCCTGAGTATGAGGAAGAAGCTCCGCGAGATTGCCAGCCTGGAAGACAAGAAAAAGTCTGGCGAGCTGCCTGGCAGTACAGATCGGGGAAGCTTCACATTGGGACCGGGTGCTTTGCTGGGTAGTGCTCGAGCTAAGAGACCACGACGTTTGGCATTGTGCGCGAGGGCCGCTGGCAGTGTGTTTACATCTGAATGCGACCCCATGTTGCCAGGCAAAGCCTGGGTCCAGATATTGTCACGGATTTGCTCAAGTGTTTATCGGGCGGACCAAGGGTCTTCTAGAAGCCATTCAGGGACGCTTGCTTGCGAGTTCACTTTGAGTCCGATATCCCCTTTTGGGCGTGGCTTTCCAAGGATAGTGGTGCGACTGGCATCTTGAGAAATCCGAAACCAGCAAACCACTGGGCGCGGCCAAGCCTGCATTTTTCCCCCCGAGGTCCCTGGACAAGCTGCAAGAGTCAAAGATCCAGAAGCGCAAGGAGATCGAGGCGGCCCTGAGCGTGCCCTGAAAACTCTGACGACCTGGCCAAGCCCGCAGATGCGACACCCTGTCGTCTAGTCGCGTGGCCCACTTCAGGCACAGATCCAAGCGGTGGAAGAGCCAGGCCAAGACCAAGGCACCTTCGCATGTCCTTTGGCTTTGGTGCAGAAGCGATCTAAACCTTTCTGCCTTCCTGCATTTGTGGGCTGACTTGCGTGTTGGATTGTGTTCTCCACGCCACAAAGTGCCTCTACCAGTCAAAGCACATCCGTCATGTGTCCATGAACTGGGCGCTATGAGTCGAAAGGTCTATGTGGACTCTGAGGCCATTGACCTGTAACGTCACAGCTAGCCAAGACCACTGAAGGCTTGGAAGGCGAGCTGCCGGCCTCCAGCACCGAATCCCGGCAGCTGAAGAACTCGTTTCTTCGAGCCCCGAAGCTTCAGTCATCCAAGGAGCGCCTTGGGGATGGAGATGGCGAGCTGCCGCCAGGGCCAGGCCAGCAAAGACCTGTCTCTTTCAGCTGCTACATTCTGCTGTTCTATGTTTTTCTCTATATTTCTTGTCATCGCCTCCACTTTCTCGAGATTCCCGTTCGTTCCTCTGGCGGACAGGTACTGCATGTCGTCCTTGTGAAGGATACAGCACCGGCTAATCGTAGCCTGTGTCCTATGTCAAAATCATATCCCCGAGGCGATGCTGATGGTTTCGAAGGCACATGTGCCGGCGCGCGGCCTGCCACTGAAGGCACGGAGCCAAAAGGGATTGCCTGGACTCATGTTGTGCTTTGTACATGGTGTGACATGGCGGTATAGCCACATGAGCTGAAAAACGTTGCAGGCCGAATTGGTTGGTGGAAGCTCTTTGATGGCATGGCATATGTTTTTGTGCCCGTGGCCAATTTGAGTATCGGCGAGGTCTGTACATGTGCCACTGCATCGATGCAATCCGGGGCCACGCCGGCAAGCAGCAGCGGCGCGCGAAATACTTCAAGCACGACCCTCAGGGCATGTCGTCGCTCGAGCCTGAGTTCACTTGGTCCATGTCCATGGCCATTCCTGGTAGGACTCAGAATGGACTGTCATGGCGAAAGGCGGGCTGGGTTTCTGTGCGCCACGTCCTGACGGATCAATCCTAAGCTTGAAGGTTCATCAGGGACATTTTGAAATAATGTGTCGTTGCATTCGGTGAGTTGGAAGATCTTATCAAATCATGTACGATGTATACTTCCGTCACACCTGCTTTCCGAAGATCTTTCAAGTTAGCGTGCAACACTTCGAGGGATGCCTGTGCGACAGCTAGACAGGTAAGTACCTTAATGTTTGCTGCTTTTCCGTGCCATTTCCCCCACCCCCACCGCCTCGAACCTACTGAGAACACCCCGCGAACGCGTCCAAGCACCACGGCATGCATGGAGGAGTACTGCGGGGCCTTCGCCGTGCAAAAACCGGTGACTACGCCGAAGACCAAAGACAAGGCCAAGTTCGATCTTATCCACGACTTCGCAGCTGGATTGAATCCAACCAAGACGTGTTTTCCCAGAGTTGCACACACGCGTTATGGCATTTGCATCGTGTCATCTCTCTCTGTATGTTGCAGCAAAGCGGAGAAGCTAGCCTTTCTCGGGCAGTGCTGTGTTAAGAGATATTACGGCACTAGGTCTACAGTGAAGATCTGAAACCATGCGAATGTTTGTTCCTTGCCGCTCTGAGGAGTTCTTCCTGTGGTCAACTTGGCGGGACAACTTCGACGCCATCAAGCGTCTGGCTTGCATACGGCTACGGAAGGGAGGCTGTTTGTCATGGAGGAGGTTGTTTTCAAAGGCAGGACCTTCGGAACTTCGGAGACTGTTTTCGCAGAGGAAGATCTTCTTACTGCACCTACTTGTAGCTGCTCGAGCTTCCTGACATGACTCCTGGACCCCGAGCTGAAATCTCGTCAGAATTTACCACATCCTTGCGAGAATCAAGAACGACTCCCAGGAGCAAAGCGTCGGCTTTCCCACTCGACTCATCCGAGGGTCCTCCTGAGTCCTCCTGCTTCTTGTTCAGTGTTGACAGGTAGATGTGAAGAGGAGTTGCCGCTGTCGCAGTTGCGCACTTCATATCGCCAACTCCGCATAGAATCGCTCGTGCACGCCTTGGATCCCACCGGACTCAATCAACATAGTCCTTTAAACTTCACTTATCGACGTCATCAATCTTCTGAGTGCTGCAGCATGTCCCAGGGGCAACCAGTTGATCGGCTCATTCTTGTCTTCCTGACCTGAAAAGCGAAACTGAATTTGCTTAGTAAGGCTTGACGCTACTTGTCCCTGCTGCTTCGATTTGATTCCTAGCATGCTTCGTTATGAAGACGCAGGAGACCCCGAAGCAGTCAATGGTCCAAATTGTCCGCTTAGATAGGACTAGCCACTCGTCGCTGAAGTCAAGCACAACAGGCTCAAGATGCAGCGGTCATCTTAAATGCATGCAAATCATGCAAAGCTTCCTGTGGCCCTGAGGACCTGGAAACGAGATGAATAAAACACATTGAATCTGCTTTGTGTTGAAGAAACTCCTGCATGCGAGTCCTGCCTCGCAGATGGAAGATCTCGGATGCGGTGAACGTTGAACGCGGTTCCTTCCACTTGGAGACGGAAGACGGGGAAAAGCCTCTTGGCAGGTTCACGACAAGGTCTGGCAGCGGCCTACTCGCACGTGCTGCAAGCAAAGCCTCCCGAAGCCCAGGCTTCCCTTTGACGCAGATTGCATTGAGATGCACGAGGTCGCTCAGTGGGCTCAGGGCGATTCCCAAAACGGACACGACACGTAAGGCACAAGTCGTATGCTGAACAACGAAGAGATCTCCCACCTTAAACCGCTACAAACCAGCTCCTAGTGCAGTAGTTTGAGCGCGCATGGATCGAGAGACGTCGTTTGGCAGTGTCCGGGTTGTGAGAGCGTAAACCGCTACAACCGTCCTGCGTCTCTCTCCCTTTCTCTCTCGTCCGCGCCAGGCGCTCAGCAAAAGGGCTCGAAGTCCGATGTTAGAAGAGTGTCTTGGACCAAACCCGTGGCGGCTGGGCGGGCTAGGAGATCCCGAGGCTGCAACATGGAAGGTTTGCCCGAGTGAGAGTCCTTGATTCTGCCTAGAAGGCGAAGAAACTGTAAGGGGTCCTTCCATTGAAAAGAAGCTGCACATGTTGAGGCAGAATGGAAGCCCTGCACTTAGGAAGCCCCTGGTGCGCATCAAGATAGTGGCCCAAAGCGTGAGCTGAAAAGGTTGGTAAGTCTGATCTCCTGTGGTGAAGCCGTGCAATGGGGCCAAGGTTACGGACAGTAGCACAAATCGTGTGAGTCCTAAGCACCAAATCCAAAGATGCTGATGCTGCTATCCGTGTCTGCGGCGCTTCCGTCTTTCTTGGGAACCGCTCCTCCCGCCCTTCAAGAGCCCTCAACAGATTGCTCCCCATGCCCCACCACACCCCAACCACGAGTTTCACAAGGGAGGGCTGCGAAATACAGCGAATTGCTTTTTTTTTCAACAGAGCGGAGCTGGGGATCGGCGTGTACCCGCTGTGTGTGTGTATGTTGTTCTTCTTCTCATGAACTAACTGACACATTGTGATGCAACCCCTACTCCGCCTCGCATCAACCGGCTTAGAGGTTCACTGGCACTCGCCGGTGAATCCTGAAGCACCTATATCCAGAGACAGATTTCAAAGAGACGAATTCCTGGGCTTGGATGCAAAAGGGGAAGCTCTGAGCAATCACGATGCTTTCGGCCCACCAAGCAGACCAAGCAACATCACCTGGGCCTGCGTCTGGGCGAGAGATGGTACGACTTGGGGGGGAAATGCTGGAACTTCCGGCATTGTGAGAAGATTGCAGTAGTCGGGCAACGGGAAATGAGCCGATCACAGGCACGGCACTGCAGGGCATGTTCCTCCGCACATCGCTCGGCAGCGGCCGCGAGGGCTAACACTGCGCATGCACATACATCGACATTTTCATTTTACCCTTTCACATGCTACTTCGCCAGCATGCACCATGCTGTGTGATTTAGATGTGCAGCGTGGGCACCGCTTGTGCATTCCGTTGTCTCTTGGAGGGATTTGTGGTTCAAGCTTGCTGCGTGAGCAGCTGATTCCCTTTTCAGTTTTTCGCAACGACTATGAAGCAATACGTCCTGCCGAGCGTCCTGCTCCTGGTTTCCGTGCCTTGGCATTGCTGTTTAGAGTCGGAAGTTGTGAGTTTCAGGGTTTTCGGGGTCAGTTTCCGTGTTGAGTTTCGGGACGAGGGCCAGGTCAGTTTCGGATCGGGCCGAGGTCAGTTTTTGCACTCGCAGCTCCACAGTGCGCAGGTTACGCTGCAAGCAGGATCTGGGATGGTTCGCAGATGCCAGGTCCAACGGAGGTTCAGGGCCGGGTCCCTGGCTGCCGGACAGAGCAGTTTTTGCCCCACCCCTCCCTCTCTCTCTCCCCCGAGATTTTTCGAGGCTTGCGAGCTGCGGAGCGCTACAGCAACAAGTTGAACGGCCTCGATCCGAGCCAGGCCCGGGGCCAAGGCCTCCCCCTCTGCCTCCACAACGCTCTGTTTTCCCTCCCTGACGCTGTTTGTTCTGTTAATATACAAATAGTCCTAGAGAAGCTGGTAGCCGACGCTCTCCCTCTCCCCCCTCTCTCCCTCGCGCTGTCTCTCTCTCTCTCTCTCTCTCTCTTTTTCTCCCTTCCATGGCAGGAGCGGTCTGAGGGGCATGTGCACTGCAACCCAGAACAACCCGCACAAATTCAATGAAGTCCTGTTGACAGAAGTGAGTTTTGACCCTATCCCCTGGCCCTGGTCGTCAGCTGTCATCTCCTGAATTTGTTTACGGGTGGAGGTCAATGGGCGTACAGTGTTGCTGCAGGAGTGCTTTCTGGCTCGGGGGCAGCAATATTGTACCACGCCACAGTATCAGGAGGAATCTGCAAGGAGTATGCAATGGAACGAAGTCGGTATGGTCAGGCCGTCACCGGCGGCCCAACTGTGACACGTGCCCACTTGTCCAAGGCTCGGTGTTCTGTCATCCAGATGCAAGTGCTAGTGTCCTTCTTGTGCTGCTGCTGCCATTGCTGCCGCTGGCACATGTATGGGAGTCTTATTTGCAAGCATACTGACGCGCAGAAGCTGTAATTATGCCACGTGATGCTGCGGCACAACCTCGCATGATAGGGCTTCTGAAAGCTTTCAAGACGATGCGTTTAAGATCCTTTAAGAACCACGCCGCAGACCTTGTGCCTGAAACAATATGCCGTGCCCTAGCGATGTTGCAGAGCGTGTGGCTGCACCCCTGCCTTTGGGAAGCTGTCTGCAGTGACGACCACTCTGCTTCCGCGCTTCCTCAGCAACCGAGCTGGCGGACCGATACTGCCCGACATTTATGGGGTCGTGATACAGCAGGAAGCGGTCGCACACGTCGACAAGGAAGATGACATCCTCATCCTCATCGGAATCGTCATTGACGATTCCGATGAGGATGAGGATGAGGATCGGCCGGGTTTTGTCGTGAAGGCCTGGCTGTTGAAGCTGGCTCAGGTTGACGACGGTACGCTGCAATGGCAGGATTTCGTTCCACACTGCGAGAAATGCCAGCGTATGCTCGGTCCAGTTCTTGACGGCGATGGATCAAAAAAGTGCCCTGTGTGCGACGGAGCGAAAGGGCCCGGCAAATGCTTCCAGTTTGCATGCCCAGAGAGCAGCCCATTGAGTTATTCTTGCGGCAATTTGCCAGCGAAGGACCCTGTGTATTGCGGCAGCCATCCGTACTTTGCTGGTTACTTGCCGGGGGACCAATGTGCAGGATCTTTTGGCCCACCGCTGTTCAGCATGACGCGAAGGATGCTCGACAGCAACATTGACTTTGTTGCGGCGTCCATCTATCGGGCAGGTTGTGAAACGCAGATTGATCTTTTTCCCGTGTCACAGGAAGTGTGGCAAAACGAGAAGAGATCAGTTCGAGTCGCCTTGACCGAGCATCGGCAATCTGTGATCTCTGCAACTATATTGCCTCCACATGAGGTTCTGTCCTCCCAGGTTTCCTTAGCAGTTGCAATTCCGACTGATGACTTCGAAGATGCAGGCAGCATCTATTTACAAAGGCGGCATGAGAGTGACTGCGTTGTCAAGCGTGATGCTGATCTCCCTGAAGCATGGGCTGGCTGGTCCGAAATCACTTCTGAAGGGAACCCGCATTTCCTTCAGCAGGTTATTGTGCTCTCACATTTGCAATGCTGCGTGGGCTTGTCGCACGACAGCTTATGGACAATGGATCTGTCAGAAGTCGAATCTGGTGGCATGTCGGCTAGTGACATGGCCGGCAAGCTCAAGTGGCTTAAGGTCATGGGGCTGCCAGCGGAGCGTTACATGCGGGACGAAATTCCACACCGACTTCTGGCTCGCGGTCATGGCAACGATGAGGTCATCATTTTTGCGTTGGAGGGTGCGAAGTTCAAGCCCCAGATGCTGGTCGAGCTATCTGGCAAGCCGATTGGTCAAAGTGTGCGCGCAACAAAGCTGACCTCCACGGTGCACGTTTGTTTGACCTCTGCAGATTTTGCTGACGCTAGCTTGCCATCGCGTTTGCTCCCCACGGTGACCCGCGTGGGCGGCAGGCAGAGTGGCTACCTCTTCTTTGACCAGCTCGGGCAGGCACATCTCCTACGGGATGAAGCCATCATCGCAGATCATGAGGCCTGGGCAGAGCCAGACATGAAAGATGAAGAGTCGATGCAGCGAGCTGTCAGCTTTACTTTGCAAAGACTTTCAGGTGATTCCGAGAAGCGTTTTTGCCTCATGGGAATGCTGATGCACTTTGAGTATTTTTCCAAGCTGTTCAAAGGATGGCGAGAGGGAGCTTCTGCTGAAGTTTGCATGAACGACATTGACCCCGACGCCTTTGATCACTTCTTGAAGTATGCACAGTCTGGGAAGCTCGACTCCAACCTGGAGCTTCAAATGCTCATGAAGCTGATACGCTTCGGGAACAAATGCATCCTTCCAGACTTCCTGTCACGCTGCCTCGTTCTTGTTTTGCGTATTCTGGATGAGCCCAGGCAGATGCGAGAGAAGAGTCCTACAACGCTAGCGGAGTTGCTTCTGCTTGCCGATGATGCTGCGATCTCTTGCCCAACCTTGAAGATGAAAGTCATCGACTCGATCCTCTGCTTCCGGAGTGATGTCTTGAAAGACCCTCAGTTCTTATCCAAAGTTGTTGCACAAGACTCCAGTCTGCTTGCGACCATGCTCTCACTCGTGGTCTCGGAGCCAGAGTGAGGGAGAGGAGTACTGATGCTAAGCGGAGAAAGCTGGAGGGAGAGATGCAATTCAATTTATGGTATCGGCAGGGCAAGGCTCCTCGCTGGAGCGGTTGTGAAAGTTTTGGAGGAGTGAGCACTCGCGAATGAGTGCTGGGGTTCGAGCCATCACCTCAAAGCCTGAGCCTAAACTTAAACCCTCAAGTAGCACGGATTCTGTACGACTGTGGAGGTAGAACCAGCACAAGCAGGTGATGGCAGTAGAGCTGTCCAGTTCTGGACATACCACGTTTCACTCACCTTCGTAGATGGTAGGGAGGCCGCAAAGTCTTGTGTTGGTGATTGCGTTTCGTGAGCTCGGCGGGGTTCCGAGAAGACAAATGCGCATCGACAGACACAGATTTCAGGGATTGGATGTGCAGAGTCGCACATCGAGCGGTTTCTTGTGAAGTTGTGGTTCAATTATGCACTGGCGTAGATACCAAACCGCCTAGAACTCATCCTCGTACGGGCAACGGCCGGGGGCATGTGTGGATGCTCAATTATCTTTGTGGGAGGTCCTTCATTTCAGCACCAGTTTCAGTTTGTAATCAGCTTCAGCTTGGAAGGTGCAGGAAATTTCTGAACGCCACAGCATTTCGTGTTGTCAATCTTCAAGATGAAAGAAGCTACCCATGCGCAGCTACGCAGCTACGTTCCGTCGTGCATGTGCCTGCAGCATCTGCAGTGCCCAGTCTATGTCGCAACTCCCCAGAACAGCTTGACCTTTTCGAGACGGCTACATGCGCTTACGCCTGGCTGCGCCATGTTGAAAATTAGGAACATCGAGGTCTGTCAAGGAAATACCTTCCCGAAAACCAGGTGTTTCTTGGAACAAGTCGTATAAGCGGCTCCATGACAAGCAGAACCGATCATTTGGTTGAGATGCAGGCCGGATGCGCGGAGCGCGGACGTCGTGGTGCCGTTGCCTGTGGGAGTCTCGGTGGGTGCGTTCGGCAGCAAAGCTGGTTCAAGAGACGATTCTTGCGGAGTCGCTGTAGTCGGTAGTTTTGAAAGCACGCACCATCGGAACATGGCGCACGGCTCAGCGTTTGATCAGCGTTGATTCGCCACGAGCTTACGAGGTGTCTTTGGACCGTGCCATCATCCCAATGTTGTTGATTTACGAATTGTCTCCTGCGTGCCGTCGTGTTCTCCAGTGAGGTGCGTGTACAAGCTGGGCAGCCGAAAAAAGCTGCGAAGAAGCTCTGGCAGGCACGTTCTTCCTTTGCTTTTGAGACTGCCCGGCATATAAAGCATAATAAGCATGGCATGTCAGGATGTTTTCGGTGCACCAGGCGGTCACCGACTTTCAAGGACAAGGCCGACTGCTTGGCTTGGCTTTCTCCGGTGGAGGCGATCCTGGCAGTCTCGCATGAAGCCTTCCTCTGAGAGGTGGCGCCAAAGACAGCGCACGGCCACGTCCTCAAAAAAAGGAAAGCCTGTTGCATGCACGGGGTCGCCACGGATCAAGAGATGTGAAGAGTACCTGGTGATGCACAACACTTACACTGCAATCACACACAGAGCCGGCATTCAAGCTGGATTTCCGCGTCCACTGATTTCGCGCCCTTCTTGTCAGAAAAATAGACCTATGATCGCGCCACCAGCACGTGCAATGCGGGCTTCTGAAAGAGTTGGTGAAGCGTTGGCATCGTTGAATGCAAAACAACAGTTTGCCGTTTTCTTGTTGGTACGGATGGCAAGTTGCAGTAGCGCTGCACCTACGGGAGCAACGTAATCGTAGGCTTCACCCACCAATGCGCAGGTTTGACATGGGACGGGACGGGGGTGTTTGAGTGACCGGGTCCAGTCGCCTCTGGCGCACTTTGGCGCCACCGCACGTATATGACGGTATGACCATTTTGACAAGCACAAGTACATGTTCAGACTTACACTCCTTGATGTTGGAAATTGTCAGTCTTCCTGCCTTGTCGGATGGCCACAGCTGACGCTCATCCTTTTGCATTTTTCGTTTCGGAATGTGTGACAACATTGAACTCAGGAAGCGTCAGCGAAGACGGCTCCGGCGGCAACGCCTTCGCCGCCTGCTGCCCCACCCAGGTGGGAACCAAGCCTACACCTGGAGCTGTCTCAAAATCACTCGCTAGCTCTCTCTCGAGCTCTCGCTCTCTCTATCTCTCTCCGTCTCTCCGTTCTCTCTCCCTCGCTCTCTCTCCCTCTCTCTCTCTCTCTCTCTCTCCCTCTCTCTCGTGGCCAAGGCTCTCCGATCTTCGTGCCCTGGAACAGAGCCCAGGTGGAGCGGATTTAACTGAAATTCATAGCCAGTTGGCTGAAGTTTTACATCTCCCGTGCTTTCGTAGGGACGTCCCTCAGCCGGACTCGCCAGAGCATGTCCTCGGGCGATGCCAGGAGCTCAGTGCTAGAGAGTCCACAGAGGCACAGGGAAAGGAGTGCAGTTTGTCAAGAAGCAGAGGGCAGTGATCCAGGGCCACGCGGTCCGTTGCATTCACCCGTCTCATCCAAGAGCACCATCTGCAGGACGAAGTGAGCGGCGATTGGTGTAAAGGGCAGTCCAAAGTGTCTGCAAATGCCTGCACCGCGGAGCCAGCCGCAAAATGTCCGCCTGGCGATGTTTCTTGAGCCAGTTGTTTACAGGTTCGAGCGTCCAGGTCCAGCGGCCAGCGTGATGAGGATCAGTGAGTGCTGTTTTTCGTGAACTTGTTTCCGGCACATGCAAAGTTCAAGTACAGAAAATACCCAAGTGCTTGATGAGATTCGGATGGGCAAGATTAGCTGCTCGGCGACTTGAGCTGGCTCAGCATGTTAGTCCAGTCATCCTTCATTTTTGCAACATTACAGGGGAAGGCAGTCGCTACCACACTGTCAGCTGATCGGTACTGGTTCGCATGCTTTCCTGAAATTTCGACATTCGCACCCGGGAATCGGCCATGCGCTTCAAAGTTGCCATCTTGGCGGCCAATGCGTACGAGCATGACTCCAGCCTGCAGTATTGCATTCATGAATGTGAAGCGATCCGGAAGGTTCTACTTAAGATGGAGATCAACGAGGGCGAAGTGGAACTGTTGCCAGATTTCAAGCGTCAAGAAGCCTTTGACCTTGCCGACCGGTTAGAGAGTGCGAAGCGTGTCATGCTCATAATAGCTTGCCATGGATACCAAGAGAAGGGCAACATATTGCTTCGACCTGTGGACTCCAAGCGCCAGGATGATGACATTCCGCTTGAGCGGTTCATTCAAAAAGTAGCAAGACATGGGAGTGATGGAGTCTTCTTGTGTTTTTTTGCTGCCTGTCGACTCTTGAAGGAAGCCCCAGCCCGCCCCTGGGATAAGAGTCGCTTGCACATGCTGGTGCAACGGACTCCGCGAATCGAAGCTCACGTGACACTCTTGGGCTGCGCTCACGGGGAGCCCATGAGAGATGTTCGCAGCGCTGAGAGCTTTCTAGGAGACCTTGCTCGGAGCCTCCAACCTGGCGCAACCTTGCCAGTTTTGGCGCAGGACGTCATCAAGAGCCAAGAGCGTGACTCATGCTGGGTTAGAAAGTTCTTGTGTGTGAGCAGTGAAGTATGTGTTGAAAACGACCCCTGTCGAGCATCGCACTTCTACAGTATGCATGTTGTACAGTCGTAAGCTGCAGCACGGTGCTTATGAAGCCGAATCAAGGGCCCTTGATGTGCTGATTAGATAGTCGGTTGCATACTGTTGGACTTGCGCAGCTTAGCGCAAGTTTAGCGTGGTTTGACCGATTCCGCTGTAGTCTCTAACTGTAGTCTCACATCCTTCAGTCGGCATGTACCCGAGGCAAGGGCCAGAGGCTGATATACGAGACCAACCGACCGGATGACAGGCTTCTGCTGGGCGGCGAGGACGCGCAGCCCCGCGAAGCACACTGCGAAGCACCTTCGATCAAAGCGAAGCAATCAAGTGCGCAGTGGCCGAAGCTGGTCGCGAGTCCTTGGTTCATTGGGCACGAAAGCACCATGTCCCGGATACAAGATGCCCTCGATCACCAGCAGCAGCCGCGAGCAGTTCTGCTTTGCGGCCCGCCAGGAATGGGAAAGACCCAGTGCGCCAAGAAGTTCGTGAGTTCAAGGTACCAAGGCCGTCCAATCATGCAGGTCCAGGCTGACAGTTCAGTTCTTTTGGACAAGTCGCTGAGAGACTTTGCACATCAGATGCAGTTAGTCTCACGTGCCGACAAAGTGGAGCTGCTCCATGTGACATCACTCATCTCAGAGCACTTTGTGAATCATTTCTTTGACACAAAACGCACCGGAGCCATTCTCATCGACAACTTTGAAAGCGACGGATCTCAAGGCCTCAAGTGGGAGGATCTTGTGCAAAGCTTACCCAGTAAAGGAGTGGACCTGATCATCACATCACGTTCAGCAGAAATTTCAGTCGTGAGCATTCAAATGCCGAAATTGAACAGAAGGGACTCGAAGCAGCTGCTGATGAAAATGACGGAGGCGAATGACGAGATTGGAGCAGAAGAGGCTGCAGATTTCTGCGATGATTGTCCTTTGGCCCTCACGCTGTTTGCGGGATACTGTCACGGACTGTATCCACTAAAGAGCGGGCTGGATTACCTTCGTGACCGCGGTGGGTTGACGGTGGTTGGTCGTAAGGCGGTGAAGACATCATTTCTTGATGGCTACCCTCATACCCTGGAAATCTGGCAGCAAATCATTCAGCGTTTGACAACCAGGCAGGATCAAGCAGCCGTGCAGGTCCTGCTGTTTGCGTCTTTCTTGCATCCAGATGGCATCCCAAGGGGAATGCTCCAGAGCTTCTCGAAGCGATTGTTGCAAAACACAAGCAGGGAATCAGCTGAGCCCTCGGAATACTTCGAGGAAGTCTGTCGCACCCTTCTGAATCTGCACTTGGTGCAGAGTGACATGTGTGATGATCCCAAGATCATGGTCCATCGCTTCGTGCAAGCTGCTGCCCAAAAGCTTCTTCGGCAGGTTGCCTCCAAAGATTTGCTTGGGCAGGTCTTTCAGCATGGGATTGAAACTTGCAGAGAGTGTGTGCCACTAGCCAGACATGCTGCGCAAGACTTGAGACTGCTGGCCTTGGAGACGTTGGTGCATGTCGAATCTTTCTGTGCAGGCTTCACTGAGCTGGGGCATGGTTCGAACGAAGACATCGTCTTGCTGCAGCTTGAGTTGGCAGACTACTATGTTCGCTTGGTTGGTAGCCCGCAAGAAGCCATGAGAATCATCGACCGCACTGAGATGCAGTTGAAAGATTATGGAAATGATAGACTCCTGGCCCTGCTGTTTGCCAAGAGATGCTATTGCTCCCTGACTGGCTGCAGTCAAGCGGAGCAGGCCAGGGAGGCCTTGGATGCCGCACTGCTGCATGCTCACCGCAGCGAAGACAAGCAGGTCCATTTGCGTGTCTACTACGAAGCTGTGAGGCTTTGTCAGCTACAGGGCTTGGATTCTGAGGTGGAACAGTACCAGTCCAAACTGATGACTCTTTGCAGCTGTAGTAATACCCCGCCATTGTCAAAGGCAGACTGCCACAAGCTTCTTGGTCACAGCCTACTTTTTCGTGCAGATCGCCGGGCAATCGCACACTACGAGAAAGCGCTTGAGATCCACAAGGCCGAAGTTGGAGCCAAGCACCCATGCACAGCAAAGGTGCTTGCGGCTATGGGTCCTGCATATCGTGATACCTACGACTATGGCTCGGAGGGGGCTAGCATGCTGAAGGTCATGAAGGCAGCTTTGGAGATTGAGCAGGCTTCCGGAAATTCCTTCGACCTTCCCTGGTTTCATCAGACCATTGGGCACATGTACACCTTGCTTCCCCGGCTTGCAGGAGCTGGCTCCTGCTCCGATGAGCGCTTCCTGTCGTGGCGGCAGAGCGCTCGTGAGCACATCAGCAAGGCCAAGATGCTTTTCGAAACCAGTGCGAAGGAGCAGTGTGGGACGACGCATTTTGCTGGGAGTCTGCGGATCGAAGCTGAATACATTCTTGCGTTCGAGCCAGGCCGGATTGAGGAAGTGTTCCCGTTGTGTGCGGAAGCCCTGCGGTTGTATGGTCATTGTCTCGGCAAGTCAAGCAAATCTCCTTATGTAGCTCGAGTGCATGTGGTTGAAGGCTGGGCATGTCTTCAGAAGCAGAACATGGCCAAACAAGCGATCATTTGCTTTGGGAAGGCTCTGACCATTCTCCACAGTGAAGCAAGCGTCCGTGTTGCGGACATTCACTACTGGCTGGGTCATTCCCATGCATTGTTGCAAAACCTCGAAACTGCAGAGCATCATTTCAAGGCATCGTTGCATCTCCTGGGCGAGCTTCCCTCCGACCATTCGCAGGTGTTTTGGCAGCAGGCATGTCAGTCTGAACTCGACGAGGTGGAGGCTCTTCATCGCGGCTTATTGAAAATTAAGTCACGATTGATGACAACCAGCAGGTTTCTCCTGTTCACGAAGATACTCATCTGCCAGGTTCTCGGTTTGAAGCGGGCTGTATTGCTGTTTGTAGTTTTCCCGATTCTGTTGATTGGCCTGCACTACATCCTGCCTTTCTTCGAAAGCATGCTCTTGTGCTCGGTTGTCCTGGTGACACGACACCCGCGCAAGTTCGTGGAGGTTTGCAAGCTTCTACTCTACCTTCCACTGATGCTGCGCAGCACAGAAGGTACAAGGTCGCTCACCTTTGTGGAGGTCAGCCCTGGAGATACGGAGATTGGTTTCAAAGAGATGTGCAACTACGTGGACCTGGAAGGCCACCTGAGGACACATGGTGCAGTCTTGTTCCGGGGCTGGTTTTCGAGTCCATCCGGTCCGGCATTTCAGCAAGCCACTGACATATTGATGGGGAGGCTGCGACTGACAGAGCACATGTTTGAAGGTGGGTACAATCCCCGGATTTTGGTGCAAGGAACGCGCTGCATTTTTTCACCCAAGTCGCCCTTGGTCTGCGAAGAGGAAGCAGTCAGCAGCATCAGTGAAGGTTTGGCAGAAAGTGTTGGCTGCATTTGGGACTCCTCGTACTGGCGCAAGTACGTGGATTCTCATCACACGGAGATGGCTTACTCAGCAGACAAGCCAGATCTCTTTGCCCTTTATAGCCAGAAGGTCCCGAAGGTAGGTGGCGGGATCATGCTGTCAGACGAGTGCCACGTGTTGGAGTGCTTGAAACGACATCCTCTCGGGAGGGCTGTCCTGAGCCATGTGGAGCTGGACAATTTTGTGTTGCATGATTTCCTTCCAGAAGACGGACCATTGGTCAGTGGCATCATCTCTGCGAAGCAGTATTTTGCAGCTTCCCCGTTGCACAAGAGGCATGGAGATGTCTCGGAACAAGACCGGGATGCGTTCCTGGCGCGGTGCTGGGGCGACACTCCCGAACAGCGAAGCGCAATCATCGAAAAAAACGGTTACGAGCTACAATCGATCGTCCCTGTGGCTGCAGGGCATGCTTCATCCCAGCTCGGCTGGATGTCTGACTGGGTTCAAGCTTCCTTTGGCCTGGTGGTGCTTCTGTTGGTGTGGCAGTTTGTGGACAGTCCCCGTCTTGCCCTTTTGTTGCCCATGTGCTTACTTCTTAGGAGCCTTGTGAATGGACAGACTGGCAAGACTTTCATGGAAGCCAACACGAAGAGGACACGACTTGTTAGCAATGCCATCAAGATTGAGAGGACCTTGCAAGGCTCAACAGATAGGCGTGCCTTGGGCTTCTTTGCCCCTTTCTATGGAGCTGTGTACAAAGACACGCAGCAGGAGCCAAGCACTATGGATAAGACGATTGTCGCAATCGCCCACTGGCTTGCATCATCTCACATCGCCATTCAGCTAGGTGACATTGTGCTGGTGGATAACAATCGTGTGGCCCACACGCGCGGCTTACCATTTGTTGGAACACGGGTTGTGTACTCTGCACAATTCAGACGGCAGAGGTGATCTTGCAGGCATTCGGCACTGCTCCCTTGCAGCCCGGCTTTGGAATGATGGAGGACCCTTTCTGCTTTCAGGAACTTCTCGCTTCAAGGTTGCGTGATGCCGGCAGTTTCCAAGTCTTTAAGTGAGCTGTGGAACCCGATGGCAGAAGACCATCATTTCTCGCTTGCAGTTCCAAGTGCATGGCTGTGCCAGTGCGTGGTACGCACGGCGAAGCCTTCCCAAGCCGTTCCGTGCAGTTTAAGTTTGCTTCTCTGATGGGAATCAAAATCCTCCGATTCCGTACAAGGGCTCGCCGCATCTCACCGTTTAAGTTCTTGTATGGTGGCCAGCTGTCACTCAATAAGCTCCCTGTAATTGATTATTAGCCATGATGCGAGTCTGGATTCGGGGATTCCTCGAGTCGTTGGAAAGTTCCTTATCGCACAGCAAGAACTCTCTAGTGGCCGCAGAGCACCGCCACAGGTGACCGTGCAGTGGAAAGCAGCATGTTGCTGCAACAGGCTTCCTGCTGTCTGGGGATGTTTCTCAAACTGTGTAGTATGCACTGTGCAGAATTCAAAACGAAGCCATCTCACCCCGTTCCATGCAGCGCAGTTCGCTGCTTCTCTGATTAGAATCGAGGATCCTCACGGAAAGGGCTCACACCAATGTTGTCTCACATTGCCGCCTCACGTCGCAATTAATTAGCTGGTCATGGATGCGCAAAAACAGGACTGGGGAATGCCTCGAATCAAGCGGAGACTAGTTCCCCAACAGTTCCCATTCTCACAGCCAGATGAGCTGGAGAAGCCGCAGAACGTTGCCAGCTGCCAAACGAGACGATGTGACGATGCAGGTTGAAAACAGCGGGTTGCCGCAGATGAAGTTCCTGCATTTGGGCCTGGGGGTTGTGGGATGCTAGATGCTTGCGATATTGTTTGCTTTCTGCCTGGCCCGACTTCAGAATGCTGTCTTGTAGATTGTTTGCATCGCTGCATTCAGGTTCGGATCGAACTCAAGCACTCGACCCTCACGCAGAGCTTTACTTGCCGCCATGGCTCGTGGGAATTGGCTCTGCACTAGCACACGAGTGGGTGCTTTAGCTGTGGGCTTGTGCACTAGTTGCATATTTCGCCCACAACTGTCATTTCTGTGCTTCAGTTCCTTCTGGACTCAAGACCAGTCGCCCCTAAAGGGGGATCTTGCGAACAGAAACGTGAAAGAGACGCACGTGTCAGTTCGTGAGCTCTTGGTATGCTGCATCCGGGCTGCCCAGATGGCAGGGGCCACAATTCGAGAAGAGCACGCTCGTGCAGCAGGCATCAAGGCTTACGTCAAGACAGTGAAGGCAGGCAGTCGCGAGCTCAGCGCTGGTGAACTGGATGCTGCCGGAGCATCTGAAGTGGTCACCAGAGCTGATTTCAGAGCGCAGCTGATCATCATGAAGTGCCTCAAGTCGCGGTATCCACAGGCAGTAGTAATTGCAGAGGAAGATGAGAACGACGCGCAGAATGAAGCAGAAGGCTTGGACTGTGCCTCGTTCTCCTGCGAGGACATCGATGTGGGTTTGGATATTCCAGCAGGCTTGTCTCGGTGCAGCTGGGAAGATTTGACAGTGTGGGTTGACCCTCTAGATGGCACCAAAGAGTTCGCACGTGGAAAGCTTGAGAGCGTGACGGTACTGATCGGCATCAGTTTCAAGCACGTTCCAGTCGCTGGCGTGATTCACCAACCATTTCGACAGTCCCTCAGTGGCGACATGCAGTCTTGCACAACCTGGGGCATTGTCGGAGCGGGAGTCCGTTCCACTCGACTTGGGGAATTAAAGCCGGCCCAGGCCCATGGCAAGCTCGTGGCAGTGCTGAGTGAGAGCAAGAAGGACAGCGAAGTGGTTTTGCGAACCCTGCAACGGCTCCCGGCAGGCCTTGAAATCCTCAGAGCTGGAGGCTGTGGCAACAAGCTCGTCCAGGTTATCGAGCAAGAAGCAGATTTCATGCTACAGGCACCTGGAAGTCAGCGATGGGATTCGGCAGCAGGAGAAGCAATCCTTCGGGCCTTGGGTGGTGGCCTTTGCAGCCTCAATGGGGAGGTTTACCAGTACGTGCGTGACAGCTCTCACAGGAATGATGGAGGCCTCCTTGCATTCCGGAACTCCTCACTGAAAGGTTACGCGATGCCGAAAGTCTCCACGTGACCTGCGGAACCCGATGGCAGAAGACCATCATTTCTCGCTTGCAGTTCCAAGTGCATGGCTGTGCCAGTGCGTGGTACGCACGGCGAAGCCTTCCCAAGCCGTTCCGTGCAGCTTAAGTTTGCTTCTCTGATGGGAATCAAAATCCTCCGATTCCGTACAAGGGCTCGCCGCATCTCACCGTTTAAATTCTTGTATGGTGGCCAGCTGTCACTCAATATGCTCCCTGTAATTGATTATTAGCCATGATGCGAGTCAGGATTCGGGGATTCCTCGAGTCGTTGGAAAGTTCCTTATCGCACAGACAGAACTCTCTAGTGGCCGCAGAGCACCGCCACAGGTGACCGTGCAGTGGAAAGCAGCATGTTGCTGCAACTGGCTTCCTGCTGTCCGGGGATGTGTCCAATAGAGCCGGATGTTGCCGATGCTCTTCTAATTTCATATATGGTCTTCCTGGATTTGCTTCTGCTTATTTGTGATAGTTTATTTCTATACTGTAATTGTTTATTCAACTATCAGACTATAAATATTACTTATTGTGATTATACAAACTTCAATAAACCAGCGGAGTCACTTGCTGTCCTGGCGGCTGTAGCCTTACGGCACTCTGTCCTGTTCTCCTTCTCCGGGCTGTCTCGGGGCTCTAAATGTTCCGAACATGTAAGGCCCTTTGAAAAAGCACGGGGCTCGAAATGTTCCGAATATATTGCTCGCCCCCTCTTCCCGTTTGCGGGGTTTGCGGGTTTTTGGGGTCTTCGGGTTTCCGGGGTTTGCGGCGGGGTTTGTAGGGGCGGCAGTGGGTTGCGGGGTTTTGGAGTTTGTATGGTCTGCCGGGTTCGTGGGATTTGTGGGGATCGTGGGGTTTGCGAGGGTTGGGTGGGGGTCTGGTGAAATTACTTAACATGGTAGGGAGATTATGGATAAGAATATTATTATTTTCTAAATTATGATCTTTATTTGCTTCGAAGATTCTTTATATAGTTTATTAGAATAATATGAATTCATATATATATATATTGATAAAATAAGAAATAGAATTAAGAATTAAAGCATATTTTATAGAGAATTCAAATTGTCTATTTATTCTCCCATCTTTGACAGTCGAGTACGAAGTGGTGGCAACAAATCGTACTTCTTCCCATCTTTGAAATCGAGCACGAAGTGGTGGCAATAAATCGTACTTCTTCCCATCTTTGACAATCGAGCACGAAGTGGTGGTAACAAATCATACTTCTTCCCATGTAGTAACTGTTCTCATGAGCGCTTTGGATTGTCTGTTTACGTTCGCGTCCCCGGTGTCATTGTAGCACCTCACAGCTCCAATCTAAACGCAGTCCAAGACAGCTAAGGATGCGATGCAGTAACACAGCAGTAATCCATATCATTTGAAACAGGCAGCCGATATATGTTCCTACCAAGACCAAACTTTTCATGATCGTTTCAATAGCTATGGCGCATTTCTACAGAAAGCCATGGTTCCTTGTCCTTTCAGTCGCAGTCTGCCTTGCCTCTACCGTGTGTTTCATCCAGTCTTTGAACCACAGCGCCTTCGACTGGATTTAAAGGAGTATCTTGGGAGTTTGTTTTTCTTTAGAGACCTTATAAGAAGCATTGTCTCTTCAAGTCAAGGCAAGATTTCCAGCATCGGATTGCGCAACACTCGCAAAGAAGACACAGGACCAAGACTACATCCACCATATGAGTTCTACAGGTTGGCTTGCGAGGCTGCTGAAAGAGGAGGCCTGGGAGTTGAGGAGTACTTGTCCAATGTAAGACGGCTCCAAGATGAGTTCATTAATACCAAGGAGGTTATGGACAAGGGCGATTTTATGAAGGCGCTGAGAGATGCCATGCTCTTGAATCAATTCACTCTAGTACTTGGCGGCAAGAACCTTGGCAAAACTCTGATGCGTAATCACACAGTCTGCGAAATGGAAAACGAGGCAAACGCCAAATTGACGATTGTTGACGTGAACATGAGGGAGCACTCGAGTCTCAAGAACTCTTCAACGCGATATTAAAAAGGGTTGCAGAAAAGAGAAAACGGAGGAGTTTGATCTGGAATCTCAAGCAATTTTCGAAAAAGGTGGGACTTGGAGGCCTTGTAAGTGCTGTCATGGTCGGCACGAATGCGGACAAAGTGGCGCCGGCTGCTTCAACACCAATATCTTCAGCCATTACAGCCATGATTGAGAGATTATCAGGCAGCGCAAAGGAAAAGACTCTGTCAAGCCTTATAAGGGACTTGAAAGGCAAAGGCAACGCGACCTGCATTGTCGTGGATGAGGCAAACCAAGCCCTACCAGTGGCTAACGACTCTGAGTCGGCACAAAGAGCATTGCAATACTTCGTGATTCTCACCAAGGAGACTCACATTGCAAGCGTTGTGCTCATCACTTCAGAGCTGGGTTATCCTTTCCGACTTCAAGCTTGCGGCATGAACTTGCAGGATATCCAAACCATCATCATCGCAAACGAAGTGCCTGAAAAGGATATGTTGAGCCTCATGGTGAATAGATGGAACATGAGCGAGGCCCTTGCAGAGGCATTCTTCACTTGTTGTGGCGGAGATGTTGACCTTTGCTGCCGGGGAGTGATGCAATTGTGCAGATTTGGGGAGGACTTTGACCCTTTCGTTTTGCTAGAATGTCCCGGCTTGCCCAGCTGCGCTGCCGACCCTGATGCAAAGAAGCACCTGCAGAACATGGCCGAGCAGGGCTGGTCTCCTGTCTATGACATCAAAGCAGACAAGGCTGAGCTCATCGCTAACGAGAATGTGGGTGGCATCATGCCAAAAAAGGCAGAAGCCTTCGACCTTCCCGAAGGCATT